GGCGCCCCCCCCTCCGCCCCTTCCCGGCTTCGCCGAACTGAGTGCCGGGTTTGGACTCACGGATGCCTGCGTGTGCCCGCGTCCGGGAAACGTCCGGTGGCATGGACGCGCCTCCACCTGGCTCGGTCCACCTGCGCTGGGCTGAAGGGCGTTCTCACCTAGGATCCCGTCGGAGAACTGTACCAGCGTGCATGTTTATACGCCATCATTATTTTTGTGATTCCCCTGGTTATGTGGACCGTGACAGAAATGTGTTACATAATCCTCAAAGCGTGGTTAAAGCTAGCGCGGGGCTGGGAAGTGAAGCAAAAGAGGCAGCCAGGCTGTTCTGAGGTTATTTGTACTTTGGCCTGGCCTCCTGGAGCTGGGGATTTTGGTGTTTGGCCTGAAGTAGTTGTGTCTCTAATCCAGTCTACTGTGCCCTTGAACGAGCTGGATAGTGCCCTGCCCTGGCCTTCACTGGACCCTGCCCGGGGCTCCTCCATTTCGGCGACTAAGTCTCCACAGAGGGTGGTGGATGGTCCCTTACCTGCCGCGGTAGGGAGCGGGGAGGTTGAGCTAAATAGATAAACGATGAAAGCAGTCCCCCTTCTTTAGGCTAGCTGCCTAAATAGATTGTTATGTCATAGATTTTGGCCTGGAGGCAGCAGGAGCCCTGGGCCGTCACTGACGATCTCCTTGGGAAGATGGGTTAAATTGTATCATCATTGTATCTCTGGCATATAGGGTATGAATCTTCATCAACATCCCCCCCCCGCCCAGGGGACACCCCGTGCATAAATCCACTGGGTCCTTCTGAGAGCAAGCAGACTGCTGGGCCTTCCTGAACCTTGGATAAATCTGGTGTCTGAAAAGTCTCTCTCCTGGCTTCATGCTTTCTTATATTAATGGCTATTCCTATTATTCCCACCTCCTCTGATTACTTAGCCACCAGATACACTCAAGGGTTGAGGCATTCAAAATAGTATTTCTAAATAATAAAAATGGGGTTTCCTAGAAAAATCCTTAGCCAATTTCCAAAGCCATCAGTTTCAGTTCTGACTTGTCTTTCTCCCCCGAGGGACTTTTTTCCTGATCTTTTGTATGAACTCCATCCTGAACCCCCTAGTTGAATACCTTCAAGTTGTGTATGTACCAAGAAATAAACTCATAGTCTCTATTCTATATATAGTCATCCTACATATATGTCCTATATATATAATTTGCTATGTAAACAGAAGACTCAAATGTCCCGGGGCGCCTGGGTGGCTCAGTCAGTTAAGCGTCTGCCTTCGGCTCAGGTCATGATCCCAGGGTCCTGGGATTGAGCCCCACATCCTGCTCCCTGCTGGGGTGGCGGGGGGAGCCTGCTTCTTCCTCTCTCTCTGTCTACTCCTCTCCCTGCTTGTGCTCTTTCTCTCTGTGTCAAATAAATAAAATCTTTAAAAAAAAAAGTCTCAAATGTCCCAACCTTAAACCTAGAGCCTTTCGCAGTCTTCGTTTATGGGTTTTAGCTCACCAGCCACCATGTCTATCATCAGATTCCTAGAGCCTTGCACAACAGACATTTGTCAACTAAGCAGGTGAATAAAAGTAGAGACTCACACCTCTGTACCACTGGCTACAGTATCTTGCACATAACAGGTGCTCAAAAATTTTAATGATGGTGATGATAGGCCTCTTAACACACATTCACAGTCTGAAAGAGGCTTTATACCTGACCATCAGATTCTTATTCTCTGGATCTACTGAATTTCACAAAATGATAGGAAAGAAACTAAAATTAGCTATTAGAATAGCTCTGCTGGGAAAGGAGTGTGAAGGGCAAGAGGAAATGCAGGGCAGTCACATTCGGAGACCCTAGGATGGAGTTATATTTTAGAATGAGTTCCCCTAGAAGCCCATGTATCTAAATTTTAAAATTATTCTATGTTCCCAAATAGTGAATATATCTGCATTATATAAAACATACCTAGGGGCGCCTGGATGGCTCAGTCGGTTAAACATCTGTCTTCGGCTCAGGTCATGATCCCAGGGCCCTGGGATGGAGCCCCGCATCTCACTCCCTGCTCAGCAGGGAGCCTGCTTCTCCCTCTCCCTCTGCCCTCCTCCCTCCTGCCTGTGCTTGCTTGCTCTCTCTCAAATAAATAAAATCTTTAAAAACATATCTACATTATATAAAAATATACTGCATATAAAATACATTAAAGTAATTTTGATCTCTAATCTCATCACTGAGTTGGCCACTTAGGATTTTGCTTATCCTGTTTCACCAATTCTAGGGTGCAGCTTTTCACTCGCTAACATCGCTATGGTGACTCCGAATTGCTGCCAGCCCCACTGAGGTCGAGTTCTCACAGAGGAGGTTTGTGTTTGCTTTTGTCAGCCATCTGGAGGCACCACCAACCCGAGACTACTTTGAGTTAAATTCTCTGCTTGAGGTTCTTTGGGCCACACTGGTAGTGGGAATTCAAAATGCAAGGTAGCGTAAACACTGGCTTATAGTTTAGATTCTTGGGCGAGATGTTTTCCTTCTCTCCGGCCAATGAAAACGTAGAGACGAGCATGTTTCCCTGGCCAGCCTTCTCTGTGTCGGCCGTTTATTTGCCACAGCTGCATGTGGGCTACCGTGCTAGACTCCTCATCTGGGGCATTCAAAAATTCTTAGTGGCATGTAAAAATAATGCTACATCTTAAAATAAGTGATATAATTAAAAGTTTTCTGTTTATGTTGACATCATACCATATGTCGGTTTTGTATTCTTTTTTTCCATAGCCTCTGACTGCAAACATTTTCCCATCCTATTAGGAACTTCATATATGCATCATTTTAATGGTTCCCATTGTACGTATGTTTGAAAATTTACTTAACCATTCTCTCCTTGTTGGACGATCAAGCCCTTCCTCTTTTTGTTATGCCTAAAGTGTTGGCCAAATTTCACTCTGAACTAACACTACCCATTATATGCCAAGCCCTGCACACAGTACTGGGGCAGCTACGAAGAAGGCCGACATCCATTCTCATCAGGCTTAGAGCCTAGCAGGGAAGGCAGCTATCAGGCAAGGAATGAAATCTGGAAGGAGGGGTGACAGGGCAGGTGTAATTGGCTATTCGGGTTGTTGATTTACGGCAGAGTGCCAGAGGGGGCAATGCTGGGTTAAAATATATTCGTGTTTTTAAGGTTTTTGATAATCTTGCCAAATTGTTGATTCACTGTAGTATAAGGACATCAATTTCGTTTCACTCTTGCCCCGGTTAGATATTGCCATTTAAAATATTTTTTTGCCAATTTGTCAGATGAACATGGCGCTTTGTTTTTAAATTAATGTTTTGCGCCTGAATCTAATCATGGTTTCAAAGTCTATGTTGGTGATCTGTGGTTGTTCTTTCTGCTCCTGATGCCTTCTGCTTGCTTATCTGCTGGGGTCTTCATGCTCTTGTTTTCTATTTACATGAGTTCTTTATACAATAAGAATATTAATCTTTTGTCTGGCATAATTTTTGTTAATCTTAGTTCCAATTTATTGTATGGTTTCAATGCTGCTTAATTGCTTTATGAAATTTAAAAGTTCGAAATCTTAAGTCGTCAAACTTATCCATTCTTTTTGTGATTTCTTTTTTTTTTTTTAAAGATTTTATTTATTTATTTGAGAGAGAGA